TGAAAGTTCTCCTCAAATTTTGTTTGAATAGATGAAAAAATGAGTATCATACAAGCAGTTTGCATACCTTATTTTAAATGCCTTCTGAGAAGTTGTTGAAATTCAAATAGGAAGTGTCCTTTTAAACATGTAAGATCTGTGTGCTTGTTGTCACTTTCATCTCACATTTCTATAAGATCTCAATTGTGACTTCATAATTTTGTGCTGTGGCTACTGGATGGCATAACCACTAAAATCAAGCTCTAAAACATGGCACAATTTCAAAATAATAAGTGTTTCTACTCAAAATAATTTAAATATCTTCTGATAAAGTGCTATGGGGAATTTTAGAAGACCATCACTGCCCATAATTAAAAAAAAATGGATAGCTTAAAAATGATATGTAATTTCAAAACAATGGTTCCACTTCTACAACACTATCTTTAGAAAGTAATATATCTCCATGAAAAGCTAGACACTTAGTTTTTTATCTTAACATTACTTGAATGGATAAAATTTTGTGTCTAACAATAGAGGAAAAGCTAAGCATATGTCATGAAGCAAAAGAAAAATATGAAAAACCTTAAAATCAATAAGTTTCCAATGATTTGAGAAATTATTTAAATTTAATGACAATGAAAACACTAGACTATAATATAGTGAGAGAATTATATAATTTTATAGCAAGGTTTGAGGATTTCTCTCTACATATGAATGAAGTAATGACTCAGTGGAAATAACAGAATATATTCTTTCTAAAATGAAACAACCTTGCAAAGGGATAAAAAGGTTTCTTTAGTCTATATTGTAAATCAAATGTCACATCCTCTAGTATATTTAACCATAAATCCCACTCTTTCAATTTTTCTCTCACCCTGTCTTATATGTCAGACATTGTCTTAGTTGTTGATAATTCAAATGTAAGACACAATTTCTTCATTTACTATGTGATCAACTTAGAAAGATGATAAGGAGATATTTTGAGATCATATAGCAAACATAGCAAAATATGGGCTGGTATAGGATTAAGTAATAGAGCACCTACCCTAGGGGGCCCAGAGTTCAAGTTCATTATTGCCAAAAATGTAATATAACAAATGCAATCCTGTAAATGCTACCAACGAACAATGATATAATAAATTTTCCTCATCCCAGATAGTGTCCCAACTCTCAATTGGAATATTCGATTCATAGCATTGGCACACTTAACTTTGTACATAGTTTTCATTGTTTAAAGATTTCCAAGACCAATGATGATGCAGGTGTAAAAATACTTGCATTACCTAACCAGCAGTTAAAACTATATCTTTTAGAAAGGATATTGTCTACTTGCAAGAAATAGTATATTGAGGGTATTATTAAGTGAGATTACGATGTAGAACACTGTTACTAAAGCAGATGGATGCTCAGCTGAGTTGTTTCCATCCTTTGCTTACTTTCACTGCTTAGCCCTCTTAGGACAATATGGGGTATTTTATGTCAGAGCATTATTTCATTATGAAGGGCAGAAGGACCAACTGGGTGGCAAAAGGAACAGGAAATCTCAAGACAGAGGTTTTAGTTCTTGTTTTTTGTTTTCCGTAAGTGTCCTGAAGCTTGGTATCTTACAGTGCTGTAAAAGTTAGGCTCTAAGACAAATTAGAAAGGAGTTGGAAACTTGGCCAGAATTGCTCACTTTAACTGCTAGAGTGATTTAGACCATCCTTCTCTGTGAGGTGGGGATTTTTCCAGACATCCCTGAACTCAGCCTGAGACAGGAAGAACAACTATCTGCTGTAGAAAGATGAGGTCATTGTGCTTTGAACTTCTGACAAGAAGGTTTGAAGGTGTAACTAGGACTGTGTGAAGAGCTTCTAGTTAACTGTATCATCAGAAAAGAGTGGGTATAATATGTGATTTCCCAAATAGAAGAGGCTTTTTCTGCAAAGAAAATAAATGAATACTTTATAGATCCATGTGTAGACATGTAAATGGGTTTTACACAAAAGTGAATGTATAAGATAAAATTCAAGAAGAGTGAAAACATTCTTCACATTTCTCTTTCTGTTTTATTAGCTTATTGAGGGAAAGTTTAGTACTTCCAATGTTGTGCTGTATTTTGATCCAGGAACCATATTGCAAGTTTCAATCAACTCCATCTGAAGCCAATGTTATCCTCTAATGCTAATTGTCTCTTCATTTAAAAAGCTTGCTTCTTCCAGAAATTCAGAGCTTCATAATAAACAGAAGATAGAGTTTACAGGGAACAGCTACACTATGTGACCTGTCATTTATAAATTTCATTCTTCCCTTTTGTAAAACTATGGAAAATCTAGTTTTATAGTCAGTTTCTTTATCTCAGCTTAAAAAATCAAATGTAAATATTTTCTTATTTATCTGGTAGAATATAAGTGGAGGAGATGGTTTTGATAATATATATTAGAATTCTTCTAATGTATATGCCCTTTGATTCCACAATTTCATGTTTAAAATGTTTCCTAAGTTCACATCCAAAAGTGCAGATCCAAAGTTTTTTATTTAAAAAGCCACAAATAAACTAAATATAAATAAACCCAAGCATCTTAAATGTCTAAGAGTAGGGGTATGCCTATATAAACTATGGTATTTCTATGTGGGCAATAATTATAGTTTAAAAATCATATACAACTGTGTAAGTTTTCAGATACCCATCTCTTGTTTTCTTCAAAATGTGCTCTTTTATCTTTTTAGGAACTGATTTTTCAATATTGATATTGGACAATATTTTGTAAAGAGTAAAAGTTGATCTTTTAGCTCAAATAAGGAAACATATCATCATGACAATTTTTCCTTTCTCATTAACAACATCAGCTTTTGTCTTACAATTTCCTCTCAACACTTTGGTTAGAAGACACAGAAAATTTTGAGTTGGGGTATCATTCATAGGCAATTCAATTCTGCCTTCTTCATTGCTGTCTCTAAGAGATCCAGGACTGGAAAAGATAGCTTACCCCTCATTTGTGCATCAGTTCCTTTTCCTGTGTCACTGCAGGGCTCAGATTCAGGTAACATCTTTTATTCTCTGAGACCTTTGTATTTCATTATCCAACTTAATCTAGAGATGTGGTATTTAATTACAAACAACTTGTTGTGAATGATTGTGATATGAAAGCATTCTTACTTATTGCATAAAGTTCTGAAAAATGTGAACACTGTAGTTCAGCACCATGAAAATTTTTTTTCTTTCTTAATGTGCTTTGGCTTTTGTGGAATAAGAAGAGCAAGGTGTCAGAGAGTTAATTACTTTTTACCTGTGTCAAATGACTTATATATTATCTATACCATTTGAAGGATTGTATAATAGGAAAAAAGTTCTTCTTCTGAGAAACTAGTGAGAATGTAAACAATTAAATATGTAAGTTAAAAAATTAGGAAAGCATACAGTTCCATGTGCACTTGTTCTTATATTTTCTGTTTCTTTCATCTTTTCATATTGATTAATGTAAGAAGCAATTTAAATTTTAAATATTTACAGAGTAATGATTTCTTTTATATTGATATGTGTAAGTAGGTTGAATCCTTTGTATACATTAAACTAAGTACTACAAAGTGACAAATTTTACTTTACATGTCACCACATTTTTTTTTTGGCCTACTGGAGCTTGAACTCAGGGTCCACACCTTGAGCTACTCCACTAGCCCTTTTTATAAAAGGTTTATTCAAGATACGGTCTCATGAACTATTTGCCTGATCCTCCTGCTCTTTGCCTCCTGAGTAGTTAGGATTACAGGGTTGAGCCATTGGTGCCCAGCATGTGACCACATCTTAATGTATAAGATTATTTGTAATACTTTTGTGTACATGGTATCACGTGGCATTAAAAATATAACTGTTTAGACTACAACAAAACACACTTTTATTTATCACACTTTGTATGGGGCAATAGAATCTGAAAGGTCAATCTACAATAAATCTCAGATTATTTTTTGTAAATGATGTCTGGGATACACTTTGAAAACACTGGCAGAGTTATGTATAACTGAAAAGAGTGCAAGAATGCCTATCTATACCTCAGTAGATGTATAAGATTTTTATAAAACAAAGATATTCATTTTTTAATGAAAATCCAAGGGGATTTTGCCTTGCTACTCAGGCATATATATACATTTTATTATAATATGTGTAGTGCTTTAATTATATTAATCATCCCCATTATTATTTTTTCTTTTTCACCATGTTCTCCTAATATTCAACAATTGATAGTACAATGCATTATATTATGTACATATATAGATGGGCTGTTTCTTTATTTTTCATTCTAACATTTTGTGTCCCTCTCCTGCCTTCTGTAATTCCCTCTGATAGAACCCCAAATAAAATCTTGTCCTCTCTCTCATTATACATATGCATGTGTGTATACATATATATATAATTATACATGTATGCATTTACATGTTCAACTAAGAGGTCTTGCTTCCACATATGAGAGAAAACATTCAATCCTTGATTTTTTGTGCTTGACTTACTTTGCTTAACATGAAGTTCTCCAGTTCCATCAATTTACCTGTAAATAACATAATTTCATTCTTGAAATTCATACTTTTCAGTCCTATAAAAATGAATGAGCTGGTTTACCCTGTAACCCCAGTTACCTGTGAGGCTGAGACATGAGGATGAAGAATTTGAGGCAGGCCTGGGATACATAGTGAGACCTTGTAATTTTTTCTTCTTTTTCTTTTAAGAAAGAAAGGAGGGAGGAATGAAGGAAAGAAGGTAGGAAGGAAGGAAGGAAGGAAGGAGAGATACAGAATTTGAAATTCGATAGAACTGTTCTTATATGAAGGACTTTTACAATATGCACTTGTCAGCCAGAAATTTAAAAGTTTCAAAACAATAATTCTAAACAATGAATATAAATCCTCTTTTATGATATATTTTTTAAAGTGTTTACAGACAATTGTCCCATCATTTCAGATGATTGTCCTGGTTAAGGCTGGTAATGGCCTTGACTTTTTCTCTGATGATTGTTTTCTTCCTTTTCTTTTTAAGAATTTTCAGTGCCATGGCATCTCATTACCGTGACTCTTTGATTTTGGTGTTTACTGTTGTTGGTAATAATTGTATTGTTGTTGATAAAAGTAAGTAATTGAAATACATCATTCTTTCTGAGTAATAACATCGTACACTAATTGGACAGATATTCATGTGCTCTATCAGTTATTCTGTCTATAATCAGGGAATGACCCAGGTAGCTCTAGATTTGTATGAAGGTTTTTTTTCCCTTTGGACATATGACAGTATGAATTTATTTTATTTACCATTTACAGTATTCAAGGACTGTGATAAGCTGTCTCTCTCTTCGTAGAGATGCCATATTCACTCAGATAATAGAGGTCTTAGTCATATTCTGCCATCTGACTGAAAGTCAATGTGAATTTATATAAACATTTGGAGAAATGGCAGTTCTAAAGATATTATGGATCTTTAGTTTTTTTACTGTGTAAAAAATGACAAAGAATGGATCAGAAAAAGGCTGATTTTATACATGAATGTTAGATGACCTTACATTAAGCTTTACCTTTTATTTGAATTCCTTCAGATCTTCTGATAACCCCCTTATATGCTGCATTTAAACAAAATTATACCTGGATAATACTGTCTTTGTTATTTCACTTTCTCCAATAATAATGATTGCCATATCTTCACGTTTCTGAATTCAAATTTTCATATTCAGAAGTGTTGACTGACTGACTTACACTTTGCTTTTTATTCATAAATGAATTAGTGTTTAAAGTGAACTAACTGAAAGGTTAGGTGTTATCAAAATAATCTAGTTGAGATACCTTTTTTTTTTACTCTTAAGCTTTTAATAGTGAGAAATTTGTTGCTTCCATCTATGGTCAGTTCACTGAGGTGTTACTTTCTAAATGTCAAATTACTATTTAAATTAATGATATTAGTTGTTTGTCAAAGGGAGGCTTTTATCTTATCTTAAATATCTAAATTTATTCATTATGAGCACTTTTATAAGTATGCTACTGATTTTAACTTTTCATTATTTTCAAGATAAACATGAGCAAGAAAGTCTAGAAAACATCCATCAAAGGTACAACATTCTGAAAAAGAATAACAACTTATTGGAACAACTTTTAACAAATAAGTCTTTAGAATGTGATAGCTCCAAAAATACAACATTTCAGCCTAAAAAGGAACTGGGCTCATTCTCTATAAAAAAGAAGAGTTGTTGTGACAAAAATAAAGCCACTTCAAAATCTGTGGAAAGTGTAATAGGTTTGGGTATCTTGACTAAAAGATTGTGATTTTTTATAGCAATAATTGCTTATTCCACAAACTTAAGCCCCCAACAGCTACCATTCTAATCTATGCTTCTATAAGTTTCATTCTGTTTATACCACATCTAAATGGAATCATAAAATACGTGACAAACTTATCTCATTTAGTGTTAACATTCTCAGTGTTCATCCATTCTGTTGCATATGTCAGAATTTGGGTTTTTTTGGCAGTGCTCGTGTTTGAACTCAGGGCATCATGCTCTAGGCAGGCCATCTACAACTTACTCCATCAGTTCTTCTTTGTGTTGTATGTTTTCTTGATCACCTTGAAAACTTTTTGACTGGGATGACTTCAATTACAGGTGTGAGCTATCAGCACTCAGCTCATTCAGTTCTTTGTTTTCTTTATTCATTTATTCATATGTTCATACATTGTTTGGGCCATTTCTCCCCCCTGTCCCCCTCCTTATCCCCTCCACCACCCCTTGCTTCCAGGTAGAACCTGTTCTGCCCTTTTCTCCAGTTTTGTTGAAGAGAACACATAAGCAATAATAAGAAAGACATAGCATTTTTGCTAGTTGAGATAAGGATAGCTATACAGAGAGATTCCTAGCATTGCTTCCATGCAAATATGTATTACAACCCGAATTGATTCACCTCGACCTGACCTTTTCACTATTTCCTGGTCAGTTTCCTTATTGACCTCTGTCATTTTAAGGTTACTGTATTCACTCCTCTGCTGTGGGGACATCAACACTTTCAAGTTTTGGGTTTCCTACCTATCCCCATTCCTCCTGTATGTGCTCTCCCCTTATAGTATGACCCAAGTCCAACAATGTTACAGCATTTGCTATAGATCTAAAGTCTCCATATGAGGGAGAAATTAGGATTTTTGGTCTTCTGAGCATGGCCAACCTCGCTCAGGATGATGATCTCCAGTTCCATCCATTTACTTGCAAATGATAAGATTTCATTCTTCTTCATGGCTGCATAAAATTCCATTATGTATAAATACCACATTTTCTTAATCCATTTGTCAGTAGTGGGGCATCTTGGCTATTTCCATAATTTGGCTATTGTGAATAGCACTGCAATAAACGCAATAAACATGGGTGTGCAGGTGCCTCTGGAGTAACCTGTGTTGCATTCCTTTGGGTATATCCCTACAAATGGATTGCTGGATCATATGGCAGATGTACGTTTATATTTTTAAAAAGCCTCCATATTGTTTTCCAGAGTGGTTTCACCAGTTTGCGTTCCTAGCAGCAGTGTACAAGGGTTCCCTTTTCCCCACATCGTAGTCAGCACATGTTGTTGGTAGTGTTTTTGATGATGGCTATTCTAACAGGGGTGAGGTAGAATAAAAGTGTGGTTTTGATTTGCATTTCCTTTATTGTTAGAGATGGTGAGCATTTTTTCATGTGTTTTTTGGCCATTTGAATTTGTTCTTTTTTCTATTTAGTTCAGTTGCCCATTTCTTTATTGTTCCATTGATTTTGGGAGAGTTTAGTATTTTTGAGCTCCTTGTATATTCTGGTTATCAGTCCTTTGTATGATGTGTATCTGGCAAATATTATCTCCCACTCAGTGAGTGGTCTCTTCAGTGTAGAGACCATTTATTTGTTGTGCAGAGGCTTTTTAATTTTATGAAGTCCCATTTGTCCATACTTTCTCTTAATTGCTGAGCTGCTGGGGTTCTATTGAGGAAGTCCTTGCATATACCTATTGTTTACACTGTATTCCCTGCTCTTTCCTATACTAATTGTAGGGTTTTGGGTCTGATTTTAAGTTCCTTAATCCATTTTGAGTTGATGCTAGTACAGGAGGATAAACATAGATCTAGTTTCAGTTTTTTGCAGATGAATAACCACTTTTCCCAGCAACATTTGTTGAAGATGCTGTCTGTTTTTTTTTTCAATGTTGAATAATATTACTTCTTACGTATTTGCCTCATTTTCTGTATCCACTCATCTGTCAATGGACACTATGGTTGTTTCCATGTCTTTGCTATTGTGAATAATGCTCCATTGAGCATAGGGATGCAGGTGTCTGGGCATGCTAGAATCTCAATGTATTAACATTATAGAGAGCTGTGAGGGTTTCTTTAGCTGTGGAGTATTGGCATATATATTGCTCTGACTAATACAATACCAGAAAACAATAAGTCTAATGATTCTCCTCATATGTTGCAGGAAAACTCTGTGGCCACTGGTCTTGTCATGGAGTAAAATGTTATTATTTTGACATGGAATTACAGACTGGAAGGAATGTAAGAAGATGTGCCAAAGTCATAGACTATCCCTTTTGAAGATAGATGACTACAATGAACTGGTATCATGGGCTCTTATATTCACTTTTATTCTTGGATTCTGTCTTTCATTGTTGGACAACAAGATATTGAAAACACGTAGCTCCGGAAAGAAACTATCAACTTTTTATGTGTGTGTGTTTTTGTCAGCTATGTGAACAATGTGTTTATGAGTGTCCTGGGAGACTCCTGCCTGTTAGAAGGAGCCCAAAGCCAAACTTTCTGATCAAATCCTCTGCGAGTGCCTATTAGCTCAGTGACATTAGCTAAATTACTTAGCCTCTTTGGGTCTATCTGCAATACAGATACAAGGGCTGTAAACATGCTAACACTTGTATTAATTAGTGTTATGGTGATATTAATTTCATGTGTAAACAACATTTACTTGATCAACGTTTTTGCACATTATATAAGGATATCTATGTTTGAAAGTAAATGGTAAAAATAAAATAGTAGCAAATTGAAATTGAAAATTGTGTTTTTAATTTTTTATTAAGAAAAATTTCCCAAATATACACAGTGTGGTTTTCAGAGACACGTCTTATTCAAATTTACGATATATATAAGTTCTTGGCATCAATACATGAAATAATTTTCTGTTTGATACAGTAAACAAAGTTAAATTAAAACCTATATTCTAAAATATACACAGTCATTAAGCAGGTATTGTGTGCTTAATCTGACAATACCTTTTACACACAGTAACCCTTCCAAATATCTTCCACTCTTATTCGCTCCTTCATGGATGGAACACAGGGAGACTTTCTCTAAGCAGCATAAATCTTCAATGCACACTTCTTTACACACACATTTTTTATTATATTTTCTTTTGATGATTCCTGCTTTACTAAAGATTATGTGATCATAATTTTCCCACATCCTTCAAAATTCTTCTGGAGATTGAACTTTAATAGTTTCATAAACTCTGGAAAACCTTTTAATGAGTCTATTGCTAGATACTTAATCTTTATATTTTTCCATGCCTTCAATAATTATGAAACCAATATCAGTTTTTTCACAATTAATGTACTGATCATAGAGCAGCTGAGCCCTTTTACCTGTAATTATCTTTGTCTATCAGGTGAGAATTTTCTCATAATATATATTTTGTTTTTTTCATAGAATTTCCTTCAATCCCAGGTCTATCCAGATTATTACTGGATTGGCTTATCATATGACAGTGGGGAAAGGAAATGGAAATGGACCGATGATGGCACATCTGAAATGTGAGTTTCTGAAATTCATTCATTCACAGCGGTGTGAGAGTTGGAAATATTGTGTGTAGAAAGAACTTCTCATTTCACCCAGCTTTGCTCATTTTCAAATGGAGGTCATTGGTAAGAACAAGATGAATAAGTAAGGAAGTGTTTGAAGAATTATACTTAAAAAGGAAGAGAAGCATCATACAAAGTTACTAGTACTAATAAAAGCATGATGCTCAGAAGCATGTTGTGTAAGGTGCACAAAATGAAACAAAATCATAATTCTATATTGTGGTATTGGGGTTTGAACTCATGATTTCTCAACTGCTAGGCATTAACTCTTCTGTCTGACCCAGGCCTCCAGCCTCAAATCATAAACTTTTAGGTAATGTGAAGTGATTAGTTCAGTCTGACACCCATAATTGGCAGATATCCTGATACATTTGAATCTCCTTTTTATAGGTAGTGTATTTTTTACTTTATTTATATATTATTTATTACTATAAATGGTATATTATTCATACCTATGTACATTTATACCTTCCACATCAAGTGCAGTATTATATAAATACTTAGGTTTCTATTTAACTCATTTTTTTTCATCATACTGGGGTTTGAACTCAGGGCATCACACTTGATAGACAGGTGCTGTACTGCTCAAGCTACTCCTCCAGCCTTGCATTTAATTCTAATCTACTGTAAAACTACTCTTTGGTTATATCAAGTACTCTGTTTTTATTTTTAGGAATTCTGTTTTGTGGTCTCAAATAACCTAGATAGTTACTTATATGTTCAAGCAATGTTTTATACCTTGAAAGTTATTAGAATGCTTATTTTATGCTTGGTAACTGGTAATCTTAGTATTTGAAATTTAGTGGATTGAATTTATTGTTTTCCTTATGTTTGTTCCTGATGTCATTTTCTTTGTGGTGTTTAGAGATTTTTTTTTTTCTGTTTGAGCTGCTGTGGAAATTTCAGGTCTGAATTGAAGGTGGTGGCTTCCTCAAAAAGACTTTTTGTTTGATGCCTTGGGACACTATGAATCTTTGCACTTTCTTTTCTGTCTTTTTATATTTTTTCCTCAATAATGGGTTTTGAATTCAGGGTCTTTGCTCAAGCACTTCAGGAATTGAGTCAATCTGCCAGTCCTTTTGCTTTTAGTTTGTTTAACAGATAAGATTTTGCAAGGGCTGACCTCTGACCACAATTCTACCTCTGCATCCTGAGTAGCTGTCAGAGTAGCCTCTGGTAAATTTTAATTCTAAACTTGGGCCCTATAAATGTTGATGTTATGGGTTGCAAATCCATGGTAGTAGTCCTATAAAAAAATTCACTTTTTGTAATTTTATTCTCCAGATACACTCACAGGCAAACTATCCCAGAGGCCAGAGAATAAAAGGGCTTATAGGCCAAATTAAAATGCTCATATCACACAGTAAATTGAATCCATCTAGAACCCAAAGTGCAATGCAAAATTAAAGAGGTGTGACATGTTGTTGCACTTAGGGTAAGGTGCAAGAGAGTGAAAGGATCATGGGAATCCAGTTTAATCAACCTTCCTATACCCTGACTCTCCCAACTGCTTAACAGTTCCCTGATGATGGTGTTGTTTGTAGTGTCAGAATTGAGGTTTGAGTGAAAAAGCCCAATAACTGAAGTTTTTTGTAGTCAGGTCACACGTTTTCTGTACTTGGGAATGCAGAATCCAGTATGCCTGGCCATAACTTCAGCTTTCCAATTAACCTGATGAGCATATATGGGTTCAATTTGTGTTGTGATCAGAGGCCACAGGGGTCTCACCAGTGGGAGGTGAACTCAAGACCTCATGAATGTCAAGTATGTGCTCTTGTGTATTTTGTGTGAAGTTAGTGTTGACTTAGCCTTTTCTTATTTTTTGTGCATGCTTGATGGTTGTGGGCTTTCCAGAGTGTACCTGCACCTAACAAGTCTCATAGGTTACTGACTTACTGATCTAAATAAAACATATCTTGTGTATTCTGTGCTTGCTTTGTAAACTCCTTGATTTCATTTATCTTTTTAATTTCCTCCTCTCCCACACTGTCAATTTGAATATTTTAAATAATATAGTAAATGAAAATTACATCAGTGATGCTTTTGATTTTTGAATTCTTAGTTGAGATTATTCTTTTTCTCTCCTGCCTATATCCAAGGTTGAATTCAGTTTTGGGGTGATTTTTACTGAAGATATGTCACTTTGATGCCTTAGCCTTATGTAGTTTGTATGGCATTCTCTATTTAGAATACCCTTCTTGATGGATTCATTTTCATCCTACAGTATTGATTTACATATCATTGGGGTTTCCACATTTACTTAAGCCTTGGCTTTAATTGGAATTATGTTCTGGCAAGTTTGTGAAGTTTCTCATGAAGGTTTTGTTATTTGTTTACTTATATAATATATCTGTGTATATATGCATATATATGAGATAAGATTTTCCTTATTGACTTAAGTGTGTTCCACAACATATGACAGTTTTATATTTTCTTTCAGCATGCTAAATTATTTCCATTAGGAAGTCCTACTTTCACAGGCAATTCAATGAATTATCATGTTTTAGCTAATTACTATCACTTATAGGTGGGGAGGAAAGAAAACAAACCAATGTGTCATTCAAGAAACTTCATCTTGGATTACACTTCAATTCTCTTTTTTGCCCTAAAAATATAGGCACATGAGATCTTGTTATCTGTTTCACAGATATTTATTTCTTCTTTTTAATCCCTTAGTTTGACTAAAAAATTTACATAAATAATAGGGATTTTCATACCATAATCCCATGGTAATATTGCAAATTAATTTTCCCTATAACCCCAAACTGGTATATGCTCTGTGTAAAAGTTGTTTATAAAAAAGAATGTATACTTCATTAAAGTGGCTATTGACCAGGACTCTGTAGTGCCCTCATCTCTTCTGGCTTCAGTCACCTCAGTTCTGCCAATAAATGGCATTACAGTTGGCACCCAAAACAGTGACCTGAAGAAGAATTTTGAAAGTGGCATGAAGACCCTCACAGCAGGAGGTAAGTGAGACAAGATGGGGCAAAATCAGTGCAGAGTCCAGCTTTTTCTTTCACTTGTGCATCATTTTTATTACAAGGAGGAGCTTGAGTTTCCAAACAGCAGTTAAAGTACTGCTTACAAGTAATTTGTGAGTGTAATCCTTGGTTTCCTGAGGAAGGTACTTTAGATAAAGAAGTTTGGGAGTGAGCACTTAAAAATGTTGAAAACGCATACAAACAGGGAGAAAAGATACCTGTTCATTTTTGGATAAAATGGGCTCTGGTTAAATCTGTAATTCTTATACTTAGAGGAGAGAGAAGGGAAGAAAAATTAGAAAAAGATACTGTAGCCTCCATGAGTATGAATTAGATATAGGAGTTATGAAAAAAGTCACTAAGGAAAGTACAATATGCTTTAGTCTTTATTGTGCTGGAGAAAACGGAAAGTAAACCACTGCTTGCAGCACCAGCAATTGCAAAGAAACTGTTGACTTTTTTCCTCCTCCCCCAGAGGAGAAGTATTGGAATAAACATCCTAAAAGGGGAAACATTGAAGAGGAAATGTGTTACTTACATATTCACCCAAACAAGGGCTTGGGAAGAAAAAACAACACTTCATTAGCAGCTCGCATTCCTATCCCCCCATGGCCACAAGAATTGTGACTACTGTCTCCTGTTATGTTTATTATGAATAGCAATAACACTTATAATGGATTGGATATGAATCTTATAAAAAACTTTAAGAAGACTTGTGCAACTTATGGTCCTTCTCCTTTTTGTAGAGAATATTTGACAAGATGGAGCAATGACTCTGGGTAGATTCCCTATGATTTTCATATTGTGGCCCCTGAATAATGAAAAATTACAGGTTTTAACATAATTAGTTCAAAAACAATTAGAGCACAAACATATAGAACTTTCCTTTTCTCCTTAGAATTCCCCAATGTTTGTTATTAAAAAAAAATCTGGAAAATAGAGACTTCTTATAGATTTAAGAAATGTAAATGTACCTATGGTAACTATGGGAGCTACAACTTGGATTGCCTACTCCTGTATGTATTCCTAAAGAATGGCCTTTGATTGTTTTACATTTACAAGATTTCTTTTACACTATATTGATACATCCCAAAGATAGGGAAAGGTTTGCATTTTCTATTTCTAGCTTAAATCAGCAAGAACCTTTACAAAGATATCAATGGACAGTGCTGCCATAGGTATGGCTAATTCCCCTACTGTGTGCTAGTATTTTGTAGGAAAAATATTACAACCTCTTAGAGTAACATTTTCTGATGCATATATCATCCACTATATGAATGACATTTTAATTTCTCATGCATGTTCTACACAATTACAAAACATTTTTGAAACCACACAAAAAGCTTTACAAATAGGAGGATTGATAATATGTCTTGAAAAAATACAAACTACTACTCCTTTTCAATATTTAGGTCATACAGCTGAGTGAATCACAGTTCATTCTCAAAAATCTGCCATACAAAGAGACTCATTAACAACTCTGAATGACTTTCAAAAGTTACTAGGAGACATTAATTGGCTTCATCTTTCTTTAGGTATATTAAATTATAAACTTACTAATTTGTTTTCTATCTTAGAAGGTGATACCACCTTGGACAGTCCTCAGACTTTAACACCTGCTGCTAAAAATGAATTAAAATTTTTTGAGTCATAGTTACAGACTGCCTTTCTAACAAGATTTGATCCTTTAAAACCTATTTCCCTGTTACTATTTCCTTATCCACATTCTCCTACAGGAATTTTAGCACAAGAGAACTCTCCTTTAGAATGATAATGTGTAAAACAAAAAGAAACTAAGTTGTTAACTTCATGTATTGATCTAATATCCTCTTTAGTTATACAGGGAAGAACAAGATGCCTACAGATTTTGGGATTTGATCTACAACTCATTATTTTACCCCTCACTAACAAACAGTTTGAAAATCTGTTACCCCTTAATGATAATTTAAGTAATAGTATAAGAAATTA